ATGTTTTATAGTTATATAATCCGGTAAAATTTATCCGCAATAGATGTTTATATCATTCAATACATGCATGTCTGTGTTTAAATTTATAATTTATTTTACTTAACCTTAATTAATTAACATGTATTTTACTTTATTAAAGGAAAATTGCATTAATTAGGTGTAAACTCGAGTAAGTTATTCTTCTTCTTGGGAAAATTATGCGATTGAACAAACTTATACTATTTAATTATTCATTGTACCTATAGTTTGCTACCACTCACGGCTAACATTATACATTAATTATGTGGGTGACTTCGAATTTGTATAATTAACCACATTTGTATATGTATAATTCGTCGGAATATACAAATACATATGTATAATATACAATTATCTAATCAATATACATATACAATTGACTTCTCTCCCACTCTCTGCCCTCTCTTGCTCGCCTCTCTTCTCCCTCTCCCAATCTCGCTTACTTTTTATACAAAAGCATATGTATAATATACAATTATCTAATCAATATACATATACAATTCACCTCTGCCCACTCTCCGCTCTCTCTCGCTCGCCTCTCTCCTCCCTCTCCCAATAACGCTCGCCTCTCTACTCTCTCTCCCAATCTCATTTGTCATATATACAAATACATATGTATAATGTACAATTATCTAACCAATATATATATATATATATATATATACAATTCACCTTTCTTCCACTTTTTGCTCTCTCTAGCCTCTCTCCTCTCTCTCCTAGTCTCGCTCGCCTCTGTCATCACTATGACATGTAGCTATGAATTGTAATTATCAAACTATAGCTATGGGGGATAAATCCTATTCGATTATGCAGGAGATCAATAAAAAATAAAAAATAAAATATCTTAATAGAGTCATTTCTTTCACCTCTTATTCTCTTATTGTCTTGTACTGTTCATTATTTTACTCCTAATTTTTCTCCAAAAATACAACCATTACTATTTGAGAATTTAATAATTTAAACTATTAGTTTTAGCAATCAATCTAGATATAGTTTTTGCTACAAAAGCTTGTGGTAGGTATTAATGTTCAAAGAAGTAGGGCTTCTTCACATGAAAGGTGCTTAAAATATTTGATTAACTCTATAATGCATGTACTCTAAACTAATTTATTGTATGTCAACATGGATACATAATCAAATACATTGTATACACAAATGATGTAAATGTGATCAACAAGCATTGACGCTATAAAAAAATAATTTCTACGGAGTATACATTGTTATTTAATTAACGTAAGACTGTTGTATTATTAGAAACAAAAAAATAATAACTTTCGAATAAAACATCATCCCCTGATTCTTGGCTCTAATTATTTTTTAGGGAGTATAGTTGTTATTTAATTATACATAAATGGTGTAAATGTGATCAACAAGCATTGACGCTATAAAAGATTAATTTTGTAGGGAGTATAATTGTTATTTAATTAACGTAAGATGTTGTATTATTAGAAACAAAAAATAATAACCTTGGAATAAAACATCATCCCTTGATTCTTGGCTCTAATTAATTGATATTCAATGGCGTTCTAAGCATAAAATTAAGCTGGGAATAATGGTGTAATTTTTAAGAATGTGATTGCTTAAGTCTTTAATATATAAATTTGTAGACCCAAAATCAATGAAGGCGGTAATACAGAGAAGTAATGCATAAAGTAGTCGAAGGGATTCGATTTAACATCTCACATATACAAAAGATAATTTTAATCATGTATAAAAAGTGCAACCGTAACTAACTCCTTCCCATGTAGCAAAAAATCAAGATACCTAATATTAAATTTGATATACAACAAATACTAATACAGCGATAGAAATTATTTTATTGTTTTCAAATAAAAATGTCAACTAAACGCGTAAGAATGAAAAATTATATATGTACGTACTGAAATATTTTGTTGTAACCAAACACCCGTTGACCATAAACTGTACCTCTTTGCTGCTTCCCTCTGTATTATTATCCTCTTAATAAATATTTATTTGTACTTAATATTTTTGTTAAATATATTTGATTTATTTTATTTAGGTAATTTAATTAAATAAAAATAAAAGTTAACTACACGTATTATTATGTTTTATTGATTTGATATAAGAATATTGAAAAATTTTGCATTCTCTTATTTAGTTTCTCACCCACTTTTAAGTTATAGATATGGATAGATTGATACTAATTAGTGTGCGTATATATATATATATATTAATGATAATTATTGTAAATTTTAATTTAATTTGCTTTTACTTATTTATTATTATTTTATTTGTTACTTTTAACATATCAAAAAGGCTAATTTTATTTTTATGTTTTATCCTTAATATTAATTACCTATTTTCTTAGTTATATTTCAAGACCTCAATTAAACATCAATAAGTATAATAGTGTGGTAAAAATAGTCATATTAATTAGTACTAATATTATTTTCTTTGTTAGTGTGTCATCTAATATGACAAGTAAAAGATGAACGAAAGGCGTAGACATTTATTATGTAAGTTGATTGATAAATGTTCTCTCTACCAAATAATAGTTTTTTTACTATATTATCTTTTGAAATTTATCTCTTTATTTTCTAATCTAAGCAAGTATTTTGGATAACTATTTTTGAATAATGGACAAATAAACACGTCACCCTTACTAAAATCATGGTCTTTAATATTTCCTCTGCGGAATTGAAAGAATCATGCCTTTTTTCTTAGAAAAGCCTCCTCATCAACTCTCTATCTTTTGAACCACACAAGGATTTTCAGTCCAGCTGAGCTACCTGAACCACTTTGAAATAAGTCTCCTTTCTTTATGTAATTTTCCCCGCCTCGGGATTCTAAGAATGAATGTGAAAAGCAGAATCTTCAGAATCGTATGATTCAGATACCTGACGAAATGAACAAATAAAAGATCGGGATAGATGACCTATTTCAAGATCAGATGATCCACCTCTTTGTCCGCTTGGGAGGGCTAACTCGGATAGGTCAGATACGAGGGAAAGAGCCCATAAAAGAGAGATCAGATGCCCTTTCCTTACTAAAATCACGGTCTTTAATATTTCCTCTGTCCAATAATAGTTGTTCACTTTATGAAAGCAGTGAATAATTTTACCTTTAATTCCTAATTTATCCTTATTACTAATTAATTATATTTATTTCTATATTACATTTTTCAATACATTCTATTAAGTACTCCATCCACTTTTATTTGTTTTATTGCATTTTTCGAAAGTCAATTTAACTGATTTTCAAAGTCAAATTAGATTACATTAATTCGATATTTTAAACAAAAAATTTAAATATTCAAAAACTATACAAAAAAGTACTACTTATTTTACATATAAAAAAATGAGAAAAAAATACTATAAAATGTTAGTCAAAATTCTTATCGTTTGATTCTAAAAAAAAGAAAGCATGAACAAGTATTTACTTGTCCATTTTGACAAATCAAGAAAGGACAATTTTTTTCCCTATTATACCCTAATTTAAACTTCTTGAAAATTTCACAGTTTTAATTCATTCTTTTTGAAACCATATTTAATAAGGGTAAGATTGCAACTTTACTATATTAATTGTTGTTATCTTAATATATGTATCTTTTATAAAGTGAATAATTAAATAGGGACAAAAGGAATAATTCACAAGGTGTTATTTATGCATTAAGCTTGTAAAATGATAAATATTAAAAAACGTCTATTTGTAGTTAAGACGATATATAAATAAAAATAGTAAAAGTATTATATATATTGCAGTTTTTTTTTTAAAGAAAAACAGCTATTAATTGGAAGTCATTTCCAGCTATTTTCCATATCATTTGGGTCAAAATAGTTTTGGTAGTACAATATTGAATTATGATTTTGTCAGCAAAATCGTCGTAACAGCTGAAGTTGCATGTAATGGTCCGCACAAGGGCCAAATTTCACTTTCGCCCCTAAACGTTACGTTTGATTTTCGATTTAATCCGAATAATATACACTATTAATCTAAACATAATTAGTAGACTTTCAAATATTTTAGATATTATTTTTGGCTAACTAATTATGTTAAAATATTATCCAAAATGCCTATTAAAGAAGTTTTTTTTTTTAAATTATGAGAAACGTGAACGTGTCTGGCATAGAAAGCACCTTCCCCTGCTCATACAGCAAAATATCTATCGATAACAAGCGGAGCTAAAATTTAAAATTGTAACACTTTTAAGTCATTGAATTTGAAATTAGTAATTTATATATATTTAATGAATTTATTTATCATAAATTTAAAATTATTGAATTTGATTGAACTTATAATGAGCACATTCGCCCTGCCCTGCCCTGCCTAGCCCTCCAATTGATGTAAAACTTTTTAACAATGTTAATAGATTCTTTATTAATCAAGGTAGTTAGTGGTTACAATTTTTAGTTTTAAAAGAATACATGTAGTTATTGTGCATTTATTTGAAATCGTTGCATTTTGAAATGCATTACTTAAATGGTCACTCAATTATTCCAAATTATCTTTGATACAATCAACTTTATTTTATTTATAACAAAAAAATCACAACACCCAAAAGGTCACTCAACAAGATTTAGCGGGTAAAATATGGAGTTAATATTTTATATGGTCACTCAACTTTGAGTTGTTTATTTAGAAAGTCATTCAACTTTATTTCATAACTCAAAAGTCATTAAACTATTGATGTTTAACTTAAAAAGTCACGCAATTATTTATATTTTAATTATAAAGTCACTCAATCAATTTAAATAAATTTTATTTTAAACTATTTTGTAAAAAATAATAAAATATCTATTTTAATTATTTATTATCCGCTCCAACTATTTAATTATAATTTTTTCTTAAAAAAATTTACAATAACAAGTTCAACCCCCATTCTCCCTCCCCCCAAACCCAAAAAGAAAATCTCAATTTTATTAATTGTAAAACTAGAAATTAATTGTTAAAAGATTACCAATAAAGTAAAATTGGAATTGGTAAGAAGTAATTTAAAGAAAAGGGGGCAGTTTGTTAAAGTATTCCTAAAAAAATAAATTCTGTTAGCTAACAAATTGTTAAAGTTTTTACAGGATGCACCATCGTTGATTGAGGATAACAAGCTCTTTTGAGCTCGTTATACCTTTCAAGATCAAAATTCCGAACCTTCATGAGTCGTTTTTGCTTAGCAACGAACCGGCTCTGATAAAATCCTTCGAAAGAAGGCTCTTTCGCAGTCCTTAGGAAGAAAGTATAACCAGCCATGCAGTAAAATGATGTAACATAGAAGCAAATTGGTTCCATGACATCCCAGGATAGTTCCCAAAATGTCAATCTCATGAATGCTGCTGTTTGAATCACAAAGTAGCCCAGCCCAGCCCATAGTTCTCTACGCACCAATGACTCTGCTTTTCTGTCAATGGCTGTTTTTTCCTCTTCCATCTTGTTGAACTCCTCCATCATTTGTGGATCCTTTGGGATCGTCGTCGCGGGGATTGGCAGTAGGCTTTGTAGAGTTTTCACTACCTGTAAACAAAACGTTTGGGTAAAACGAACACTCCACTTGATAATACTCGTCATTTGACACTGCTTCGAATAAACATATAGCTCACATATGTTTCCATAAAAATATTTTTGCAACTATAGATAGGCCTAGCTATGGTTTTATAGCGCCCCCCTAAATTGTACTCTATAATTGACATATGGGACTTCTCTAGGACTACGCAAACTAATCCTCACCAAACTAATTTCATTATTTTCCTAAAGGAGTTCTCTAACGTCAAGCATTAGAAAAACTAGTGCCCAATTTGAAAGGGGAAACTATGAATAGATAACAACTATTTCTTTTCCCCCCTTTTCATACTCCTCTCGTCCTAACCCAACTCAACTCATAGTTTAAAGGTATTTTTGATACTTTATTCGTATTTAATATCATCCTCCAAAGAATTTTGGTGAACTATCTCAAGGAAATTTTGGGTCTTTGAAAATGATCCGAATTGGTCCACTCCATTATAAAAGTCACCATCTCGTTTTAGAGATCTGGGAGAGACTTTGTTTCATTTTCCTGTCTGGAGAAAAAACACGAAAATGCTACTATCAGTTTTCGATAATGCAAGTTTTATGAATTAAGTTGAATATTAATAGTGCTAATTACCAACGAATTGTCACATATTAATTTATCTTAATGCGTATCTGTCAAAAGAAACAGATATAGATTAATTGATAAAAGAAGAAAGAAAAAAGAAGTGAAAGAAAACCAACCTGATCAGGCCTGAGGAACACAACGTTTCCCAGAACAAGCACAGTTCCAGAATCATCTAGAATCTTCGCCAATTCGATGCCTGAATCATTACTCGAACTAATTCCAGAGCAGATCTGAACAAATTCCGGGTACGAAACACAATTCTTTTCAGTTTGCTTTAGCCTCAGTTTCACCATCTCCAATTGTGATACTTTGAACAGCTTCTTCGCATCCGCCACCGTCAAGTTCCCCTCCGTCGTCACCTCCGGTTCCGGTTCAGGCCGCATCTCTAGCGGCGGCAGGAATCCATCGAGTTTGATCCTGCTTTTGTTAACATCCATTTCACGGATTTTCTCGATGAGACTTTCTCCGGTAGGTAGTGACCGGAGATCCGGAGAGGTGGCCGGCGATGTGCCAATGAGTCGACGATGGATGAATCGCCGGATAATTCCATTATTTCCGGGATCCGGAGCGATTTTGTCATCAGGATGAGGAGGTACCAGCTTTCTGGGTGACATGGATGATGAAGATATACGAGAAGCAGAAATGGAAAAACCGGTGGTTTTGTATACATTGGAAAGACGCTGAGCTAGAGTTTTTTTGAACGCCATTGATAATAACGAAAGAGAGAGAAATAAATGGTAGATTTTGGTTAGGGTTTGTATTGTTCAAAGATAATGAAAAAAGAAAACCATGCGATGGAACTATTTATAGGTCCGTTCTATGTGACGAAATGACAGCCAACTCTTATGTTAAATATTTTCAATACTGACGTGGTAATTACACACTCCGATCTATTTTATTTGTCATGTTTATCTTAATTAATTTAATTATTATTTTTAAAATAAATAATTTATATTTATTTTATTTTTGTAAAAAAAGAAAGTATTTGGATTATCTCCTTAAAAAAGCATTAAAACTAATACTGATACAATTATCTCCAAAAAATAATGTAAAAACAAAATTTAGTATATAAATATGAAAATTTTGAATTTTCACTGGGAGAAGTTGAGTATATCCGCAGTAGAAAAAGAATATCCCCACAATAGGAGGCAACATCATAAAGGATCACTTCACTTTATGTTGTTTTTATTTTAGAGATCAAATTTAGGGATTATAATTCAAAATTAAGAAATACAAATTATTTTTTTCATGTACATTTAATTAATATAATTTTTAATTTCTTTAAATAGTTCATGTGATATTAGATATTCTTAAAGTGTAACTATAGTGAGCGTACAAGTGTCCGGTTAGAAAATTAGTCACGGGTTGGGGTTGGGTGTTAGGGGATTATTTATGGTGTATTTTATACATTTTAATTTGTTTGGACGTTCGTCGTTTTACCTACTATTGGATTTGAACCAATGACTCCCGCCGTATGAAAGCAGTACTCTAACCACTGAGTTAAGTAGGTCATTTATCATCCCAAAGAGAACCTAAGTACTCTCTTTGTTTCAAAAAGAATGATTTTATTTTTTTTAGTCTGTTTAAAAAAGAAAAACGTATTTTCTTTTTGGCAATATTTTAATTTTAATTTTTCACGTGGCATGTTTAAGGCCACAAGATTAAAGGACATTTTGATATAATTTTAATTTATAACCCCAAGATTAAAAAGTTTTTTTTTCTTAAACATATTCCAATTCAAATTAGATTATACTCTTTTAAACGGAGAGAGTAATTAATAATGCTTTACACGTGTTGGTTAGGGAGGGAAGCAATATAAGAATTAGTCCATTGTGTGTGGTGTATAGGATAAGAGTTTTGTGCTGACGTGTTTAGATAGCCAAAATACAAAGAGAGGGAGTCGTGATTTGACTATAAAGCCCAATTTCTAGGAAACACAAACGTGTAGCCACATATATCCCAACTGGCAAACAATAAAAATATCGATTAAACAATGGATATTTATTTTTATTCAATTAAAATGTATTACTCCATGTTTAAAATTTTTTCAATTAATATTATACTTGTTTTTTTGGGAGGCTGAAATTTTAAATTGTTATTTTTTTCTTCTTCTAATATTGTAAAAGTATTGGCGTTGAACTACCCAACAACTTGAACGATAACGGCGGAGTTTAAATAGTAAATGCATATTTATTTACATTGAATCATATACTCTGGTAAACGTGAACGTTTTGCCACATACTCTATATTTTTAAGTGGTCAAATTGGTAAAATATTGATGGTGGGTATTGAATTTATTTAATTATGTTTTGTTTTTACACAAATTAATAAAAAATACTTAGTAAATGCTGATTATAAAACTGAAAACGTTTGAATTATATGTGGAATACATGTAAAAGATAAATTCTTGCTAGCTACTACAAACGTGAACGTTTCGCCCATATATCTAGGTGGAAGATTAAACGTTTATTGATCGTAGAATTTAATCTTTTCTATTTTTTATTTTTATATAAATAAAGAAATGGTAATAAAACGTAACGAAGTAATCGTTAAGTTCATTACGACCTGATTTTATAGGAAAATTTTAGTTATAGTTTCTTAAATCTTAATAACTGAATTTGATCGAGATATATATTATAAAAATCATGTATAATTATTCATTATTGAATCACTTTAAAAGGTTGAAAGTCAGCTATAAAAAAAATGAATGCAATCATCAACTCGATAAAACAATATCAGAATTCATCCTCTTTAACTTTAAATAGGTTATGCCTAAGTTAAAATAGGACGAATTTTTGACTGGATTTTATCTTTTGAATACTACTAGAAAGTGAGGAGGAAATATGACCTTCACTAGAAACTCAACATAGATAAATTTAGTTTGTGCATTTGTGAGTTATACGTGTAGATCGAGCGATTTTTTATTCATATATAAATCATAATTACTCCCTTCATTTGTTTTTATTTGTCAGAATTTTGATTTAATACATTTATTAAGAAAACAATTATTAATATAACGAATTCATCATTCGATATTTCAAAGACATTTAACTTAAGGGTGTACCCTTTAGCCCAATGAAGAGCCATAAGTGAAAGGCAAAATCACCTTTGAAAATGGTTGCAACCTTCCTTGGTTATATATTGTCAAACTCTTGGTAACCTTCTGTTTCTTTCCTCTTTAACCTCTTGACCTTTTTTGCTTTGTTTTAGGTCAACATGCACACATATGTTTTATCTCATTGCCAAAATATAGAAAGAGAAATGGCAGTGGGTGTAGGTGGTGACTTGACTATGAGGCCCAATTTCTAGGAAACACAAACGTGTCGCCACATATATCCAAGTTGGACAAATTGCTAAAAGTTAAAATGAAAATGAAGGGATTCATTTTTGCGATGAAAGAATAATCGATGTACTCTTAAATTTGTTAGTAAATTTCTTATTATTAGATCTTCAACTTGTATTTTAAAAAAGAAAAAAAAGATTTTGTATGTTCTTAGAAACTAACTAGATAGATAAATTGATTACACACTCCTTTAATTTGTATGTATCATCATCAAATGAAACAAACCTAATATTTGATGGCTTATTAAACATTGTGCTTTTTAACTAACGAAGATAACATTACACTAAATTGTTTACATTTTATAGTTTGTTTAATTATAATCACGCCTTTTCTGTTACTCACTTTGTTCCTAATTACTTGAAAACTTTTGAATTGATACATTTAATTAGAAAATAGTTATTGACACAGTGAATTTACCATTTTACTCTACTAATTATGATGTGTATAAATTCAAATCTTAAGATTTTCAAGAAATTATTCTTCTTCTTTTTTTTCAAAATAATTAATTGAGGGTATAATAGAAAAAAAAACTGTCTTTTGTCAAAATTGACATGTAAATTAGGGACTACTTAAAAAAGGAAAAGTAGACAATTAATTAGAAACAGATCATAATGTTTGCACTCCGAATACGAGATAATTAACTGAGAATTAGGGTAAACGATTAATTTAGTTACCACGTGGAAAATTAAACTTGAACCTTGCGCCACATATATCCTAGGTGGACGAATAATTTTGGGTTCTTTTTTGTAATTATCTTTTGTGCCTTTTCCATTTACATAATGAATATAGAGAATACTAAATGCTGATAATTATGAATTATGATATATATACATTGAATTATCAGTGAATTATGGTAAAGTAAATGATTAATTATTTTTCTCAACGATTATAAAATTAATTTGATTACAAGGAAACGCGAACGTTTTGCCACATATATTAAAAATATTGAGTGGTGGGTGTTTATTTATTTTGTTTTGTTTTTACACACTGACAATAGAATACTTAGTAAATGCTAACTATGAAATTAATGTTTAATAATCTGTGTAATACACATGTTATAAGATAAATTCTAGCTACTATAGAAACGTGAACGATTAGCCGTTTGTTGATCATAGAAGTCAATTATTTTCCTTGTTGTTTACGTAAATAAAGGAATGGTAATAAAATTGAACATAATAATCTCATCTGACAATTCTAATTATAGCTTCTTAAATCTTAGTAATTAAATTTGATTGAGATATATATGATAAAAATTATAAATAGTTTATTGAATTACATAAACAACTGACACTTGATTTTGAAAAGGTGAATATATTGACCAACTTAATAAAATTCAATATCTCAACATCAATTCTGATATAATGATAATTTGATAAATAATGAATTCAAATATACATTTCATACCTCATACTCCTAACATAAAAACTTGACTATAAGTATTATGTTTTGAATATTACTAGAAAGTGAGGAGGAAATATGACCTAGGCCTCTACTATGTTCAACAAGTTACGCTATCACAATTTTAAATAACACCAATTTAATTTATGACCTTATGAATTTATGTGAATTGAACGATTTTTACTCATATTATATCAAAATTAATTAAAATTATCATATAAAAATCATAAACTTTTTGAATTCGTGTCCGACGGTTACCCCTTTGACCCATTGAAGTGTCATAAATTAGAAAGGTAAAATCACCTTTTTGAAAATTGGTTGCGACCTGCCTTGGTTATCCTCAAACTCTTGTTAACCTTCTCTTTTCCTTCCTTTTTCTCTTTAACCTCTCGCCATTATATATAATATTATATTATTATTATTTATTAGAAAAAAATATACATGTTTTACCTTTTTGCTTTATGGAAAAAACTTACTCGCACCGAGTATTTATATCAAAATTCATTATTATATAATTTAATAAAGTAAAATATACATAAATTAATTGATTGAGTAAATCTAAATACGTAACTTGCATATATTGAATTGATATAAACCTCGATGCACATAAGTTACCCTTTACTATGTCAACAAGCATATCCCATTGCTTGATCCCAAAGCTTAAAGAAAGAAAAACGTGGAATGGAGACACTCTAACAACCCCAACCATAGGAGCCAAGTCCAAAGGAATTAATTATTTATTTGTATGTATCTATATAATAATATATATAAACAAAATAAATAGAAAAGATATATATAGTAATTAATGATGCCACGCAGCAACTTTAGGATAATGCAAAAAGGAGTTGGAGAATCACAACGATCGAGTAATAAATATTTCTTTATCTTTAATCAGTGAATCTTTATCACATATAAAATTGATTTTATCATAAAACATGTTACTTTTAATATTGAGAGTTCTCTATGTATATTTAAATTTAATCGAATTTTAATATAGAGAGAGTAAATATGGAGAGGATGAGGTTGACACATAA